TATAGGTAATAAACAAAAACAGTAAGTATATAAATAGTTGTTACATAAGAATTATTATATTTAGTTATTATGTTTAGCTATATACAGAATTGTGCAATATTAGTGTTGATTATATTGTCTTGCTCTTCACAAAGAGCTTTCAAAACATTTGTGTGCTGTAAGAACTTACTCCTTTAAAACTCACACTTCCAGAAGTCAATTATTAATATTTTTTTTCCTTCCATAACTGTTTTTTTACTAAGGTGCTTAATTTTTTTTTTCCTCTTTGCTCTTAACACCAGAATGTAAGGCACTGCAACAAAAATGTAATGAAGAAAACCAGGAATTTGCAGCCTCAGCAGTACACAATGCGTTCCACAGGATGGCACCAGCTTCTAAAGAACCCTCAGCGAGCAGCCACACGACAAAACACTGAATTCTGTTTTAGAAAGTGCTTTTCCAAGACTTGGTTTTATTACACTTAGCTTTCCTGGAAAGCAGGGTTAGGGATGAGGTTAGTTTTGGCTCTTTGAAGACTGATCTTACTTTGTTCCAGCTCCAAGAAAGAACTTGTCTGAACTGCCACCATATTTGAAAGTTGAAAAAATGCTAAATCTTAAGAGCATGTCCTCAGAAACTAAAATATAAACTAGTGAAAAAGTAGTAAAAAAGACAAACTTTTTACAAACTGAAAATACTGGCAAGCCAAGTAGCTGTGCCAGGGCCTAGCCAGCTCCTGGGTCATCAGCCACTGCCTGCTGTCACATCACATGGAGCACAGACTCCTTTGAAATACCAAGGAAAGGCATTTAAGACCCAGAAAGCACAAACCCAACATACCTGCCACAGTGAACAACCACAGCCACGAGGTCGTACATTCTGTCAGGGTTTGTAGCATCCCCTGAGGTGTTGAAGAGTCTCAGCTCCAAGGGAAACACCACACGGTAGGAGAGTTTGGTGTATCGGTGCAGCTGGTCCATGTACTTGAACCTTTTTAAATGCAGAGCTAGAATCATGGGCAACTTTTTCACTCTCATTCTGAACCACAGAAATATGTTAAACAAAGAACAAGGTATTAGCAGATCACCTAAAGCAAAGCTTTGTTCAAGAACAGTTTCAGTATGGAGCGTTCTGAACCACAGAAATATGTTAAACAAAGAACAAGGTATTAGCAGATCACCTAAAGCAAAACTTTGTCCAAGAACAGTTTCAGTATGGAGCAGCTTTTAAAAGGCATCCATATTATTGATAAGATTTTTCAAAGGCTGTTTTTGTTCATTTGTATTCCAGTGAGAACAGGCAGAGTTTATTCTGATTAGCCACAAAACTGACAGCTGCATGCAGGACAACTGTTGATGCTGAAAACATCAACTTTTCATCACATCAATGGGAAGAAAAAGATGGAATAAATCTGTCTCGCTACTCTGTGACCAAACCTGAGGTGAGAAATAAGATGTTTTCTATCTGGTATTCATAGACAAAGCACATGGGATGGTTTCCAGTGGCTTTAAGCTGATTAATGCTAACTGGGGAAAATGTGAATGTCTGGAAGCACCAGATATAAACTCTTCTGAGAGAAACACAAAATTAACTCATAGTTTCATAGAATATCAAGGGGCTGGAATGGACCTTAGAGATCATCTAGTCCCAACCCCTGCCCTGGGCAGGGACACCTTCCACCACTCCACGTTGCTCAAGGCTTTATCCAACCTGGCTTTGAACACTGCCAGGGTTGGGGTAGCCACAGCCTCCCTGGGCAACCTGTGCCAGTGTCTTACCACCCTCACAGGAAAAAACTTCTTCACAATACCTAATTTAAACTTCCCCTCTTTCAATTTACCCCCTTCTTCCTTGGCCTATCATTCCAGTTCCTAACCAAGAGTCCCTCTCCAGCTTCCCTGGAGCCCTTTCAGATCCTGAAATGTTGCTACGAAGTCCCCACACAACCTTCTTTTCTCCAGACTGAACAGTCCTAACTTTCTCAGCCTGTCTCCATAGGGAAGGTGCTCCAGTCCTCTTATCAGCTTTGTGGCCTCCTCTGGATGTGCTCTAACTGTGTTGGGGACACCTGATTACTGCAATCTCTTCATTTCTCTCTGCCACAAAGTTACTTGGTATTTCCACTTTTCCTTACTCCTTTCCCCATCAAACACAGACCTAAACAATCTTACCTTTTATTTTCACTGACTTCACAAGGTGTATTTCCCCCCACAACTGCCCACTTGAAGAGAACATCTACATTGACCTGAATATTTGAGTCTTACCTCTTCTGTGCCTCCTGTTTACTGCGGCACTGCTCACAATAGTATTTATATTCACTGCATAGAGTTTCAGTGTTACTAAATCCCCTGTGGAAATGAAGAGTGAGATAAGCAGGAATATTCATCCAGACCATCCAGGTAAAAGTTACATATTTCATCTGATAATGCTGAAAAAACTTCATCCAGACCATCCAGGTAAAAGTTATATATTTCAGCTGATAATGCTGAAAATAACCAAACAACACACAGAAGATGAACTTCCTTTTATTCCTATAGCTCATACCTCCCAAACATACTTTAGGTGTATTTGTCCCTGCTCTGGGATTTGGTATCAAGGTTCAGCTGGAAATTATCCCCTCAAGTATTAACTGCATACTTTCTGAGTAACAAAGGCAATTAACAGCAATAGGGTGGTTGTTTTTTTGTTTCCATCAGCAGCCACTGACATTTCCTTTGGTGGCAGAAATTAACTGTTCAGACCTATAGCCATTAACTAGCCAAAGTCTGGATTATCTTTCAGCTCCCAGCAATTACACATCCATTATCAGCTATTAAATAGGCAGATGCTGGATGCAACTTGCAGTATCCAAGCAGCTGATCTAGCAGACAAATACATGGAGAAAATGTCTATCGGGTAAAACAAAACCCTCTACATCAGAACCAGAGAACTGAACCACAGTAACAATATTAAAATAATCAAGAATTTATTATGAAATTCGAGGTAGCATGTTTAGTTTGGATAAAGCCTGACTATATAATGGAATAAATTAAAATCTCCATAAAAGCAAGTGAAAATCCATCTTACATACCACTAGTACTCATTAACTACTAACAACCAGTAAGAAACTGGAACCTGAAACACCCACAATATTCTACCACAGCTGTTCCACAGGAAAACTAAGCCAGACTCCTTCCTTCACACCAAGGGCAGGTATTTTTGCCATTCCCAACTAATTTCATTTACCTTAGACAATGTGTAATTGATGTATTTTGTTCCACATCAACCGAGAGATCCAGAAAGTCCTCATCTTTGCTACTAACCTTAAAAAAATAATAAGAGACATTCGGTAACAGTTTAGACCTAGCAGATTTCTTTTAACCATTTCTGGCACGGTGCAATGTCCTCTGTCATAAAAAATACACACACACAGAGCCCCTTTCTTGAGGCAAACTAAAACTGAAGGAATAATCTGATGTGTTGTTACAATCTGAAGAGGAATATTAAAAGAAAAAAAAACCCAAAACAGCAAAAATAAACCCAAAACCCCATGAAAAAAGGCACAAAAACACCAACCCCCAAAACCTTTCTTGCAAAACATCTCTCCCCCTTCAGACTACAAGACACATCTACTTGCTTCACTGGCAAAGCCAAGATTTTAACCATTCAGAGCTCTCAGAGCTGGAGAAGCTTGAACCACGTTCCACTCTGCTTTGCAGGCTGGTACAGCTTTGTGCTGCATTTCAGAGCGTAACAGTCAATACTTAGAGGAAAGGCAGAAACAGGCAGATGGCTCCTCAATTAAATGGGTTAGCAGGGAGGAAAACCATCTTTCCATTTGTGGAACAGTCGCATTTTCATTTCAAAATCCTGGGGACAGAATCTTACTTGTGTAATTTTTAGAGCTCCTCTTCACCACATAGCCGTAACTTTAGATTTAAAATGCCAAGAACAGTTGTTTCTCTTGTTATCACTTCGAATTTTTGTTCTCCCCATGTGGGTGTTCATTTTTTTTTAGAACTATTAAATCAGACAGAGCATATGACTAACTACAAATTGCTGCTCTGAAGGTGGTGTGGTGGTTCTAATTCTAGATTTTATGGCACTTCTTGCTCTCAAATAGAGTGGCCATAGAACAGCACCGAGCAAAGACTTCCAGTTCAAGCAATTCCCTTCATCCCAGAGTTAAATAAAGAGGGAATGACTCTCATGTGGAAACACAACATCAACTATCAATCACTGACACAGGAAATAACATGAAGACACAAAGGCAGCTTGTATCAGCCAGCTGCAGGCTGCCTTGATGGAAACAGGGAGGAGGAACAGGGAAAACACTACACTTTTTCTGAGCAACATACCTTAATGAGTATTGAACATAGAGGTGATACAGTCATAAAATAGGCTATGCTCCATATTTTAATAGAGAGTGCAATTTCAGCTATCCTAATAAATGAAAAAGTGTGCTTAGTATTAGGGAAAACCAGAACCTGGGAGAAATCTAAGAGGTTTGGGTTTGTTGTAAACGTACAGCCTCACAGTTAAGACATCTGGTTTCATTGGTTAGTGTTCCTTGGAAGATTTCATGGACCCACGTCAGATCAGTCTTGTCTCCTTCTTCACTCTCAATGCTGCCATTCTGCAGTTTGCCATTCTGCTTCTCCTGTTTTTTCTCTTCTTGGAGTAAGTCAGCAATAGTGTTCAGTAGGTAGTTTAGGAATTCGTGTGCATCCTGCTGCATATAATTATCAAATAACTCTGGGAAAAAAGAGACCAAGGAGAATGAAAAAATACAGTACTACATAGCATCAAATTACTATGCTTCCAGCAATCTGTGCTTGCCCTTCCCCTCCTCTCCCCTTACACAACTGTGGGTTACACTGCTCAGCTTTTGAAGAATTGTACTTTGTTGTTCTCACAACAGATGTTTGGTTATCCTCAGGTTGCAAGAAACAAACAGTTGAAATACAGCATTAAGGGAAATTAACTTGGGCATTTCTCAGAACTGAAGAAAACCATGAACAGTTGGGGCTTTTTGGTTGTTTTTTTTTTTCTTTGGCGAGGGAGAGAAATAAAGCAATACAGATGCATTGCCTTGGGCCATTAGTTCATTAAGTCCAGCATTAAGGGGCAAAAATCCCCTACTATAAGTTTGTTATCTTTTCAAGTTCAAGCAGAGATGACGAATCAACATACTTTGTTGGGAAAAGTTCCATATCCCTGGAAATAACCACTAAATCTCATCCTAAAGAACTTCTCCTACCACAAATACAAGAAAGCATATGAGTGGTTAAATCTCCTTAGAGAGTTCAACTTTGGCCAGTTTGTAGCAATGACCTGGAGTGTGCTGACTGCAACCAGATCACTCCAGAACACAATTTCAATGTGGAATAACTGAAGCACTGAGACATGTGCACATGCCCTGGACTTGGTTTAAGCATCCAAGCAAGTTCAGAAACAAAGATATTCAGCTAATCCCTGGAGGACACAGCACAGTGCTGATACAATCTCTGCTAAAAAGGTAGGGAAATTCAGACCCCAAAATCTTTTATAAACCTGTTAAAACTTGACAATTTGGTCTCAAAAAGACAGATGTGTTTACACTTTACATACTTAAATGTGCATTAAAAAAAACACTTATTCATTTACCATTTTCTTTCCTCAATCGGGAAATAAATTTCTTGGGTGGGATGACCCCCACCTTCTTCTTTTGTGTAGCAATACTGTTGAAGAGATCAGAGAGGCATGTCAGGAGGCTTTCCTTCTTTCGAGGCTGCACTTTGTATGCCAAAACTTTGTCCCGAAATGGACGACAGAAATAAAGTGCCTGTAGGACTGAGTTGCAGTAGCAGGTGTTGCCGAACTGGGTGAAACAGAACAAATGGAAAACAGTTTCATGTTAGGTCTGTCAAAAAGGAATAACAAATAGGTTACTCATAGAGGTTTGACTAGATGATCTCTAAGGTCCATTCCAATCACTTAACATACTATGAAACGATGAATTTTTTAGGATTATGTTCTGTAATACTCCAAAAAGTCTAATTTGGAAATAATGTTCTGAAGCTGCAATAGCCATTGGAGCAGGGACAGTTCTTAGTCTGCTCAGAATGGATCCAGGAGGATTGGGCAATGTCCTGTGCAAGTTTCTGACCTTACAAGGCTAGTGCAAAACCAAACTCTCCCCAGAAAGGGGTTAAATCATAAAGATAATTGACTCCAGAGGTTGCAGAGAAGGGAGATTTGGATTAGATATTAGGAAGAAATTCTTTATTCAGACGAGGTCTGAGTAAAGACATTCTTTACTCAGACACTAACACAGGTTGCCCAAAGAAGCTGTGGCTGCCCCATCCCTGGAAGTGTTCAAGGCCAGGTTGGATGGAGCTTGGAGCAACCTGGGCTAGTGGAAGGTGTCCCTGCCCATGGCAGGATCAATGACTAGATGGCCTTCAAGGTCTCTTCCAACCCAAACCATTGCCTCATTTATCCACTCAACCTCTTGGGCACAGAGTTGTGGCTATATTTACACATTCACACCCATGGATGGGCCCCTTGTCTGAACTTTACTGCATCACCTCTGTAGGATGGGGCTTTGAACAACCTGGGCTAGCGCAAGTTGTCCCTGCCTGTGGCAGGAGGGTTGGAACTAGATGATCTTTAAGGTCCATTCCAACCCAAAGCATTCTGTAATTCTGTCACTGAGAATGTCACACACTGAAACTGGCAAAGTTGTCTATCAAAGTTCATGTTCTGGGGAAATACTAGTGGCATGGTGTAAAAGACTCATCCTTGTACCATCCCAGCTGGTAACAGCGAGGAAAGGAAGAGAAGACAACAGTCACACCAAAAAAGGCAGTTAAGGACTCATCACAAAACCAAAACTTCTGGATATGCAGCATGTACTAATTCAGAGAGGGGAGACCCTGCTGCTGCTGCTGCGGAGAGGTGCCAAGGACACAGCAAAAGAGAGGGACAAGGAAACAGCAAAAGGAAGAGACAGCACCTGTCAGCATGGCTGTGTGCCACTGTGTTACAGTAAGGAGCTTAGTGCATGACCTCCCATGTGGGACATGCCTGGGTCAGATCCACAAAGTATTCCCAGAGATGCTCAGCAAGGGACATGTTCAATATTTCCTGCTTAGAATGAATTGCTGTGAGCAGCACATGCTGCAGGCAAGTGCACAGAGCATCTGTTTTACACCTGCCCTATCTGCAGGCAGTGCCATGTCAGTACCAGGAGGCCCGTGGTAATTCCAGAGGCAGTGATCCACACTGCTTCACCAGGAGGAACACTGATATTGGCATATCATCCAGAAGCAACACACCAGGGTGTTTTGAACTGTTTCTTTGCAATTTATTGTGCAACCGTGTTGGACAATGCGGTTGCTTCAAACAAGTGAAATCAGTTCTGGGTTTGCCAGTCCCCAGATACTCTGGGAATGAGATTCTGCATCTCAAGAGCACTGAGGGCAAAATATTTTAAATAAACCAAAAACGTATATAAATCTGACTGCAGAACACAGACCATCTTGTTGGTCAGTATTGTATTTGTAAGTGGTACCCGGAGACACAGCCACTCTGCCCACCAAAATCTAGTGTGATTACTGTAGCAGAATAATCTCAAGTTAATAATCACTTTGCTGACTGCAAACAGAAAATGAGCAGTTTAATTCATACAACAGATCTGTAATCTGCGCAATATTAGTGTTGATTATATTATCGTGCTCCTCACAAAGACCTTTCAAAACATTCGTGTGCTGTAAGAACTTATTCCTTTAAAACTCACACTTCCAGAAGGCAATTGTTAATATTTTTAATATTAAAGCTGAAAAGGTTACAGATTATAGTTGAAATTGATTTATACCATGTGCAAACAACAGGGACCAGTTAAAACTTATTGACGAGGAAAATAAATACAGAAGCTAAACAAACACATGAATTAGGATAGAGCCTCACTCATGTGCTTGTTAGTGACCTAGAAGAACAAATAAGCATCATGCTAACTATATTTGTATAAAAGGCAAAATAGGCAACAGAACTATCAAAAGTCTGATTAAATATTATTGTTGGCAGATGAGGCATCCAAATTATCTGTCTGTAATAACCTAAGAAAACAAAGAGAGAGAAGAAACTAGAAAATAACCACCCTCAAAAACAAAAGGAAGGTCATGGTGCATCCTAAGTTAAAGAAGTTTACAAATCAAGGAGTTAATAAGATTTCAGGGCTGTATTCATGGAGAAATTGTGCCAAAAGTCATGAAGTGAACTGGTTAATACATGTCCTGCTTTGCTGCTACTCACACAGGAGAGAAGTCATTATGCCAAACTAAAGGGAAGAGTTAAAGAATGAAAATTCCACCCAAATAGCTTTCAGAATTCCAGACAGTAAGATGCTGTGCAGTAGTCAAAGTGATAGTGACAAATTCACTTCACAACAGGCTTTAGGTTGTAAAGATGTCCTTCTATTTCAACCCTCTTTGCATCACCTTTACATAAGTAATGTGGAAGAACTTTTATTCCCAAAATCTTCGGCATTTTAGCTGTTTTACTAAGTACTTCACAAACAGATCAAGTGATGTATTTTATTTAAGCAATTCTGACTTTTTTCATGTTGGAACAAAACTCTTCCAACTTTGAGCAATTCAGGGCCTTGGGAAACTTTTGAATATCTCAATTCTTGACCTCCATCTCTTTGCATTAGAGAGAGTTCTCCACAAACAACCAGTGTAGCAGTGCCACACTTTTAATGTACAACTCGTTTGTGTTTAGGAGGACAAAGCAGTCAAATCTTTCCAATCATGACCTAAACTTTGCTAGAAATTCTGCTCTAATCATTTGTCTTCAACAGAGTCCCAAAAAATGGGTTTTCAAAGCAGCTGCCAGTGGGCTGATGCAGATTTCCAAACCTGGAGCTACATGTACAGATGATGTACCCCAATAGTTATGTCTAATGTGAACTAAAAAAAAAACAAATGAAAAACAGGTCCAAACACAAAGATCTTAAAAGCTTTTGGTCATAGTTTCTCTGGTCCACATAAATATTTTAGACAGGTGCCAAAGCATGAGAGGTTCGGCTTAAAACTGCCTGAATTTAGAGTCAATACTCTAAATATTCATATATATGTATATATACATACATATGTGTGTGTGTACATATATATATACAGGAACAGTGGTTCTGTGGCATCCTATTTATCATGTAAAATACAATTTTGGCAAGGCTCACTAGAAACATAAGTATATTTCTGTTTGCTGGTCATCTAGCTATGTTTTCATATATATATGTATGTGTTTATATACATATATATGTATATATATTATATATGTGTATATAGAGAGTATATATACACCTATATATGCCATAAATACATATATATAGTACATAATAATATTCTAAATAGTCTAATATTCTTCAGAAGAACTTGTCCAATGTAAAACTAAAGTTTAAAGGTTTATTTTAAGACAGAAGCTTCGGAAAATGAAAACAGAGGTGAAATTCTGTAATGACAACTTTGTCCCACTCCTCTTGCACTACATTACACCTAAACTATTTTACCAGGCTGTCAGAAAGAGCAGTCAGAGCCTTCTCCCATATACTCTGCAGTGGCTTTAGCCATAGTTTGCTGGTTCAGCTCACTGATCCAACAGGAAAACAGCTATTAAAAACCCCCACATTGTAAGCTTCATTGTCCACAGGTTCAACACCTGATTCTATTTGCAGTGCATCCACAGGTTTAAAAGCATTAGTGCTGAAGCCATGAAACTGCCCGCTAAAATGCTCCAATTAACTCCAAATCATGAGCAACTAGAAATAACTTAGGCAAAAGCACTGCAGAACAATGGCATGAAAACCATCACCATAAAGAAACCATGGAGCACAACAGTATTATTCATATTTTGTCTTTCAAAGCAGAGAATGGATGTGGTGATAACAATTCTGGCTATTCTTAGAATGCTATTTTTCCTCTTCACACTATTCAGAGCTCTGCTATTTATGTCACAACTGGAGATGCCTTCCATTTCTCTCATTATGGTGCAAACCTCAGCGGCTTAGGAATGGCCATTAACACCCTAGTTAAGGAACAGAACTCCACCTGCTTAGATTGTTGCTTGTCTCAAAACACAAACTGCTAGAAACCCTCATTCAAGTCAATTAAATGGGTTTCTAATGAGCTGCAAATTAGTAGCTTAGTAGCTATGTTGACCTTACTTGGTGTGTGAAGAGCATCTTTCAGCTTTCAACTAAACCTACAAGATTTGTGGGGGTTTTTTTTCCAAAAAGTCTATGTAGGGACCTCAGAGCAACCTTCCAGGATCTGAAGTGGTTACAGGGAAGCTGCAGAGGGCCCTTTGTTAGGAACTGGAGTGACAGAACAAGGAGTAATGGGGGATAAACTGAAAGAGGGGAAATTTAGATTAGATACTAGGAAGAAGTTTTTTCCTGTGAGGGTGGTGACCAGGGGGGCCCTGGGGGGGTGGGGCCTGCCACAACCTTGGCAGTGTCCAAAGCCAGGTTGGATAAAGCCCTGAGCAGCCTGTTCTGGTGGGAGGTGTCCCTGCCCAGGGCTGGGAGTTGGGACTAGATGACCTCTAAGGTGCATTCCAACCATAGTATCAACTATGATACTATGAAAACATAGCTAGACGACCAGCAAACAAATATACTTCCATTTCTAGTGAGTCTTGCCAAAATTTTATTTACACATGATAAATAGGATGCCACAGAACCACTGTTCCTGCAACTAAATTCCTGTATTCAGTGGTAACAGGTATCACAGAGGCACAGCTTCCTCCTTCACATGAGCAGCCATGCTCCATTCTCTCCACAGGTGTTTTAGGCAACTCTTAAGACAACTCTTGCTGCCCAACAGCTCCCAGTCAAGTCAGATCTACACAAACTGAGAGATACAAAAAGTACAGCTCTTTGGAAGGACTCACAGTTACACAAGGCTGTCAGAAAATAAGAGTATTACTACATGGAAGGAATTTATCAACCAAGTCAATGTCATTCATCCCCTGCATAAAAGAACTTCCACTACTCCCACCAGTAATGTGTTTTTTAAAAAGTAGCACATTTTCATTTGAAACCCTCCCATACACTGCAGCATCAGTGTCAAATCAAGCCTCTCTTCTCTGGAAGAGCCTATGAACAATGCACACACTTGGTTAGTTCACACTTTCCTGGCAGATATTAAAATCCTCTAACTAGAAACATACCTGAGTCAGAACGTTTCTCTCATAGGTTTTATAACAAATCTACTTATTTTTCTGGATTTCAGATGAAATGTGTATCTTGGTTAATAACTAGGCATAGCACCATACTGCAGGACGTGGTGTCTATGCAGAGTCCCACTTGAAGTGAGAAGATGACAAAGTTCTCACATAGAATCCTGTTAAATTTCAGATTAGGATATGAATGAAAACCAGTATTTCAACCATAGAAAATTCACTTACATTGACCAAGCCAAAATAATGCTCATTCACAGGGAACTGCTCAGGACCGATCTCTTTCTCCAAAGCAGAGGCATTGGCGCCCTACAAAGAAACAGGATGTCTGTGTTAGAGAGAATCAACACTTCCTGAAAAAATCCAACAGATCACTGTTACAAAAACAAAGAAGCTTAGAAAACAAATTACTTCCACTGAGAATCACCATCTTCTGTTTGCAGTGTTCTTCAAAACTGCATCAATATGATGCTGCATTATTATCAAGGGTACCAAAGTTTCAGGTAAAAACTCTGATTTAAATTTGATCTATTGAATTAATTTTAAATTCATTTGAATTTACTTAAAAATCAACACAAGAAATTGTCCTCACTTAAAACTTCAGATTAGTCACAGTGATCTAGACACTCCCATTAAATTTAGCCAAGAATGCATTGTAAAAATAAAGCAACTTGTAATACACAGAGAACCTCTAAACCTACAGGACAGAAACCATATGGGCTACACAGCCAATGGGAGAGAAAACTACCTGGTGTGACTGCACAAGAGGTTTGATGTGGCTGTCTATTTTTATTATTATCTCACGAAGAGTTCTTGAAACAAATCTTACCTTCACTGACACTTTATATTAGAAACACTAATTTTCTGCCTTTATTTTGGACAGTACTAGGGACAAGTGATTGCAAAACCCCAAAAGAATGGCAATAAGGATTTTATCAGACACAAACTCAGAGCACCTGGAAGTGCTTAGGCTTTGCTACCCTTAATTTAAGGATGATGTATTAAGTTCACACTTCATTTTGACACATCCTTGAGTTTCCATTAATATAATGTGGACAGAACTTGCTATTTTAGACACAACTGAAAAGTTCCACTATACATCCATATGGTCTTACTTATCACATAAAACAACAAATAAAGCATAACAATATTTTATTTTGAATTTTAACTTTGTCCACTTGACATTTGAGTGGTTTATGCATCTCTTTCCATTTTCCTTTTGTTTTTTTAATCCCTCAGTGCCCAATGGCTGACTCCAATTTGGGATTTGGGACCTTCCCTCATTCCAATCCCTCTTGCTCTTTCATGTTTCTTGATGATCCTTCAACAGTCCTGAGCTGCATCTGTGCTTTTATCTGTGGAGTTACCATCACTCAATGCAGAATCCAAACACTTTGGTTTCTTAATCAAATATCCAAGTCACTCCAGCTATAATCTTCTGCACACAGCAATTCTGCACAGGTGAACCATCTTAAAAACCCCCAGAAAAACACTGAACAAACAAAAATTACATCCCAGCAAAACTCAATTCATCTATTTCCCTGAAGCTTTTTAATTGCTGAGCAAATTTTTCAATCATCTCCCCAGTAATATAAATCACAGACAAGCAGAGACGGTATAGACCATCTAGATGATCTTTGACAAAAAACAGCTAAATATTTTCCTATAAGCAGGAAAGAAAACAAGAAATCATCTAGTTTAACAGGAGGAATGGAAACTGTGGTTGGATCTCCCCCATCAAATGTAGAGTGAATTCCATATATCAAAAGAGACATAAAACTGGGAATGATTTTAATTATTTACTTTTTATTTATTTATTTACTATTCATTTAGTATTAACATAATATGAAACTATAAACCCCATAAAACATTTGCCAGGTACTGACAGATTCACAAGGCTCTGCACAAGCACCAATCACACAGAAAGTTTCTGAGGGATCAGTGCCAGTTCAAGCAGGTCCTCTCTTTTTTTTTCCTAAATCCATTTCCTGCTTCCAAGGAGCTCTTTTTGCCTCCATTGTCTCCCTCCCAAAAAGCCCAAACCACCCCCAGATATAAGGATAACCATCAGCAAGGAAGAACTGCTGATAGAGGTCTCACCAAGCTACTTGAGCTCTTTGCTTACACTGTTCCGATCAACACTGGCTGTGGGCAGTGGCTAAGAGGAGATTAGAACCAAGATGCACAAGAGGTGATGCTGGATTTGAAGAATTTTCTGTCAGATCAGCTTAGGCTTTATGATCTCTTTTAAGCTCTACAAAGAGTTTGTCATTATTCCTGCAAAGAAAATGAGTCCTTCGCATAGTGTAGATTTAATCTATTTCAGAAACTGGAAATGTATCAAGCTCCCAGGGACTTACATATTTCTGTGACCTTAAACTTACTGAACTTGTAATTATTGTTACAATCAAATGGCTTATAGATTGCGTTCACTTAGCTGACAAGAATTGTAAGAAGAGAAGGAAGAGTTATCAGCTTTTGATACACTATAGACAATCAGCTTTATGGCAGAAGTTATAGTAAGGCTCAGAGTTCAAAAGTTCTTCAGAACAGCTGGGAATGATTAATAACAACTACACAGCCCAGAAGGTGAACTGCTGTCAGCTGAGAAATGCACATGCCCAGTGCCCACACGGCTCCTGCTTCAAGTGATAACTTCTGCCCTACTTAGTAAGGTGAATTCTGCTGGGTTTCAGAGAAATCCTGATCACCCACAAAACTCGGCTGAGAATCAGTGGACTATTGTCCACTATTGTCACTAATATTAGTCTATTATTAGAGACTAACCAATGTTACATGAAAATCATTCCTCCTGAGCTAACAGCTGCACACTTGGAAGGCATTCACACTTCCACATACCTGCTTTTACTGCTCTGAAGGTAACTCTGCAGACATGGGAATGGTTTCAAAAGCAGTGCCAAGTGTGTGAGCTGACCTTAGAGCACAAAGTAGCTGCTATTACAGCTTCAGTACAAAAAGCACCAAAATTAGCACAATATTGGGTCAATATCCTCACTGCTAGTCAGAGCTCTTGTCAAAATAATCAGGTCGGTGCAGTGCGTGAGCAAACTGTGAGCACAGACACACTGGAGCTA